TCCTCAGAAACCCTATACAGGATGGCTGTGGGTCGGAATCGACTCGACGGCACTTAACAACAACAGCAACAAGATTGGGTAGGGTCTCTGAGAAGAAGTGAAATATGGACTGGAGCCTGAAGGCCAGATGAAGCTCAAAGAAAAGAGTTCTAAGTAGAGGAAACAGCCTGGTGTGAGCTTGGTGTGGTGTTTGAACACCTGCAAGGTAGCCTTGGACTGACATGAAATGCATCTGGAAAGGCTACCAGGGCGTGTAGGGCCTTGTAGACTGTGGAGTGGAGTCTAGGTTTCACACTAAGTCTCCTGGAAGCCTTCAAACTGTCTCAGCAAGCTAGTAATACAATGTAATTTACTTTTTAAAGTATCTAGTTTAGGGAATACTTTTTCATTTAAAAATAAGTTCAGTCACAGAAAATTGTTACAAGATTTACCAATTGTTAACATTTGTTTGCTTGTGTACTTTCTCTTTCTGTATCTCCTTCCCTCGATTTAATTATTTTTTCTGAATCATCTGAGAGTAAGTTATAGGTATTATGGTCTTTCCCCCTAAACACTTCATTGTATATTTCCTAAGAATAAGGATATGCTTCTACGTAACCACAGACCACTGATTGAAATGAGAAAATATATATGGGTACATTATTATTATCCTTCGGGTAAGCACTGAACTTCAAACCACAAGGTCCGTGCTCCCACAAAGATTTTTTAAATAATACTTTTTAAAAGCCTTGTGAACTCCTCACAGGGTTGCTGTGAGCCCAAACAGGCTTGATAGCACTTCACAGCAACATTGTTGTCTAATCTTCACACCTTGGCTGGATTTCCCCAGTTATTTCATTGATGTCCTTTACAGGACACTTAATCCCAAAACTTGCCACAAAAGTGACTCTCTTGTGGTCAACTGTGTAGCTGTGTATTTTTGTCAAGAAGAATGCTGTTTCAAGATGAAAATGCCTCTAAATCCACATGTGCCCTGTTTGGAAACACAGGCACTTTGAACTGGGTCATTGACGATCACGGAGTTTATCTGAAAGCTTTCTGGATCTACTGCTCAATTCTTTCCTTCTTACTTTCTTCCTTTGCTTTGTCCCCTTCAGCATTCTTTAATCAGTTCTTTTGACTCTTACCTTCTCTAGTACTGTTCTGGTAATTTATTGCTTCATATGATAGCATAGTGGGTTACTCGTTGGGCTGCTAACTGAAAGGTCAGCAGTTTGAATCTACCAGCTGCTCTGCAGGAGAAAGATGAGACTTTCGAGTCCCATAAAGATTGACAGCCTCAGAAAGCCTATACAGGGTCCCTACAAGCCGGAACTGACTTGAAGGCACACACTGCCACATAATAAATACTCTACAGTTTAGTGGCTTAAAAGAAAACAGTCACTCGTGTGGCCCAGGATGCTGTGATTTACACAAAGCTCTACAAGACTCACGTGGCTGACTAATTGGTGAGGATTCTTTTCCAGGTGGGAAGTTAGACTTCCTCCCAGTATGGTGTTCTAAGAGTAAGCATTAAAGAAACAGCTGAAACATGTAACTGCCTTAAGACCTGTGCCTGAAAACAGACACATTATCACTCCTGTCACATTCTCTTGTTAAACATAAAGAACAAAGTTAAAGGAAGTGGACATAGACCCTGTCTCTGAAAAGAAAGATTATCAGGGAATTTTGGAGCCGTGTTTTAAAACTAGCACACTCGCTTTGACTATATCGCTGCTCTGAGCTGACCTGAAAGGTGAACATTTATAGTTCTCTATTCTCTTTGTCTCTGCCACAATAAAACAGTACTTCTCACTCCTTTAAATAATTATGTTTTAAGTCTTGCTCATCTAATTCCATAGGCTGCTAAGAAAAATATCTTCAGTGAGAACTAAAATACATTTGGAAATCATTCCCATCTGCTCATTTATTGTATCTGCACATACAGTTCATTGATGGGCAGCTGGAAACCTAGGGAGTGAATAAATGTTGTTGTGCCTTTTCTGGACTTCTGGTGTGGTACACTAGGAGCAACATGGAACTGCGAATCACATAGCCAATAGTTCAACCCCCGCAGCTGCTCCTCGGAGACCCTATACAGGGTCAGTATGAATTGGAACCAATTCAATGGCACTTAAAAACAACTGCCTTTTCTATTTTCTTCTTTACTTCATTATATTTTTCACCTTTGAATACCAAGTCCGAAACCAAAACAATTAGTATTGAATTAGCTCCTTTCTGTTGTGTCAAAGTCGAACTGTGCCCATAGAATTTTCAGTGTCTGTGATCTTTCAGAAGTAGTTCACCAGGCCTCTCTTCCAAGATGATTTTGGATGGATCCTTCAGCATTTCAGCTTTTAGCCAAGTGCATAACCGTTCTGCACCACCCAGGGATTCCCTAAAATGCACTCCGGAATTTACTTATTTGTTTATTGTCAATTTCACCCAAGCAGAATATATCTTTTTGATGGCAAGGATACAGATTTTGTTTTAAATTTCTTTATCCCAAGTACTTAGAACGAGGCCTAATACATAGTAGGCATTTAAAAATATTCATGGAATGGATAAAAATACAATTTAAGTTTCTACTTTATGATGACTCTTAATAAATTGTTTTAATGTCAGCCCATGTTTTCTTCCCAACAGTATAAACAAGCTGTCCATGAACTTGTGCGTTGTGTTGCACTGACAAGAATTTGCTACGGTGACTCACACTGGAAACTAGCAGAGGCACATGTTAATCTGGCTCAAGGCTACCTCCAGCTGAAAGGTAAGCCCTTCATTTGTTTTCTGATCTTTTCTCAAACTTTGATTCATACTTCACTAAAAAGACATGTTTTCTTGTAAATCCTCCTCTGCAAACATGGAGAAACTGTGTCCTTCTCTTGTTGTTGGTGCCATTAGGTGCCATTGGGTCGATACCGACTCATAGTAACCCTATGTACAACAGAATGAAACACTGCCCAGTTCTGGGCCACCCTCACAATCACTGCTACGTTTGAACACAATTATGCTGCCACTGTGCCAATCCATCTCTCTGGGGTCTTCCTCTTTTTTTCTGACCCTCTACTTTATCACACATGATGTCCTTCTCCAGAAACTGGTGCCTCCTGACAATATGTCCAAAGTATGAGAAACGAAGTCTGGCCATCCTGACTTCCAAGGAGCACCCTGGCTGCAGTTCTTCCAATACAGATCTATTGCTTCTTTTGGCAGTGCATAGTACTTTCAATATTCTCCTCCAAACCCATAATGCATCATTTTGCATCAGTTTTTCTGTGGTCATCCATATTTACTGTCCAACTTTTGCATGTATATGAGATTATTGAAAATACTATGGCTTGGGTCAGGCACACCTTAGTCCTCAAGCTGACATCTTTGCTCTTCAACACTTTAAAAAGGTCTTGTGCAGCAGATTTGTCCAATGCAATACGTTGTCTCATTTCTTGGCTGCTGCTTCCATGATTGTTGATGGTTGGTCCAAGGAAAATGAAGTTTTTGACAACCTCAGTCTTTTCTCCATTTATATGAATGTTGTTTATTGGTCCAATGGTGAGGTACGTAGACCAAGAGGCTGTTGTGTGAACAGAACAAGGGAACACCAAATGGCTTTAAATTAGGAAAGGTGTGTGCCAGGGTTGTATTCTTTCACCATGCTTATTCAATCTGTACACTGAGCAAATAATCTAAGAAGCTGGATTATATGAAGAAAAACATGGTATCAGGATTGGAGGAAGACTCATTAACAACCTACGATATGCAAATTATACAATCTTGCTTGCTGAAAATGAAGAGGACTTAAAATACTTACTGATGAATATCAAAGACCGTAGCCTTCAGTATGGACTCCTTCTATAGGGAAGATGTTTAATCCCTTCTTAGTTTTACTTTTTATGAATGAAAAGTAGGGTTCTTAGAAGATAATAACTGTTAGTTCTGAAGGCATTTTGGAAAGAGTGCATGGCACACTGTAATGACCTAGAATTGGATCCATTCACATTGGTATTTTTCATGAGTTCCTTTACTGCAAGTGACCAAACAAATAAAAGACATAAACAAAAAATGAAATTTATTGAATCATAAAGCTAAAAAATCCCAGGGTAAAACTTACTTTGCTGTCACAAGACCACCATTATAGCTGCAGTCCCTATATTCTATTTGATTTGTTTTAAGAACTATTTGTAGCATATTGTCCGCACACATCTGTTGGTTTCTTTTACTCTGGTGGCTTGCATGTTGCTGTGATGCTGTAAGTTTTACCGCTGGTGTTTCAATCATGGCGGACAGATTTTGGTGGGGCCTCCAGACTAAGAACAAACTGGAAACAAGAAACAAAGAGTAGCTGGTACACTTCTGAGGAATTAGCTCCTGGACACCTTAGGAATAGTAGTGAAGTAGTCTGATTTAGTGCCGGAAGATGAGTCCTTTGAATTGGAGGATGCTCAAAATATGACTGTGGAAGAGCTTCTTCCTCGAAGTAGAGTCCACCTGAATGACATGGGTGGAACCAAGAGTTCAGGACTTCCATATGCTGAAGGGCACAACTCAAAATGAGAAGAAACAGCTGCAAACATCTGTTAATAATGGGAATATGGAATGTACGAAATCTGAATTTAGGAAATTGGAAGTTGTCAAAAATGAAACCCTTAATGAGTGATAGATATCCTAGGCATTAATGAGCTGAAATGGACTGGTATTGGTCAGTTTGAATCTGACAATCATATGCCAGGAATGACAAATTGAAGAGGATTGACTGCATTCATTACCGAAAGGACATTTAAAGATCTGTCTTGAAATACAGTGCTCTCCATGAAAGGATAACATCTATATATCTACAAAGAAGACTGGAGTCCTGGTATGGCTCTGTAGGAATCACTGGACTACTAACGAAAGGTCGACGGTTCAAACCTCCCAGATGCTCCTCAGAAACCCTATATATATGGGGTTGCTCTGAGTCAGAACCTACTCTATGGCACTTAACAACAACAAGAAAGAGTAGTTAATACAACTGGGAAGTGAATAAGGAAAACCGTAGAAAAATCAAAGCATTTGAATTATGGTTTTGGCAAAGAACATTGGAAGTACCATGGACTGCCAGAAAACCAAATAAATCTGTGTTTGGAGAAGTGAGACTCTTCCTTTGAAGGGAGGATAGCAAGGCTTTGTGTCATGTACTTGGGAGAAGTTTTCAGGAGGAACCAGTCCCTAGAAAAGGATATCGTGTTTAGTAAAGTAAAAGATCAGTAAAATAGATTAAGAGTTTTTATGATATGGATCGACACAGTGGGTGCAACACTGGGCTCAAAGGAATGATTGTGAAGTTGGTCCAGGACTAGACAGTGGTTTGCTGTGTTGGGTCATAGGGTCACTATGAGTCAGAGTTGATGCCGACAGCACCTTACAACAACAATATAGCATAATGTTTGTCTGATACTGACAAGGTTTCAAAGCTGTTCAATTCCAATTTATTCTGTTTATTTTATTTCTAAAAAAACCATTTTTGGAAAAGTGTGTATAGAATTCTCTGTTTTCCTAGTCATGATGATACTTCCGGAAAATGGAGTGGTCTTGTTGCCTCCGCCTGCTTTGTGTAGAGGCTTCTGGATGTGCTGCCCTGTGTGCCACTGAAGGATGCAAAAGGGAATCATGCTAGGCTCCTGGAAATAAAGAACTAACTACATATCCAGTGGTCATAAAAGAGAAACTGAGGCCATCTTCTTTATTCACAGGGTTGTCGCTGCAAGCAAAACAACATGTAGAAAAAGCCCAGAAAATCCTCAGCAGCGCCATTGAACCTCCCTATAATGATAATACAGATGTTTTCAAGTGTTCCGTTGAACTTTTTCATACCATGGGGAGAGCCTTAATCGCACTTCAAAAGTATCCTTTTACCTCAAATCTTTCTCATCTTATTATTTCATTCCCCAGACCAAATAAAAAGTTGATCAGTGACTCAGGAAGAGTGAGCCAAGCAAATCTAGGGACTGGGGTGGGGGTTCTGAATCTGGAACCAAGTATCACCTGTCCTGAACACAGCTCAGGTTTAAGGAAGCTTCAGAGAATCTGGCGAAAGCAGAGAGACTCTCAAAGGAGCTGCTGCAGTGTGGAAGAATTATAAAGGAAGAATGGGTCAAAATTCAAGCAGAGCTCACACTGTCATTGGCACAGTAAGTTTCATGTTTTAAGATTTTGCATATGGAGTGGCTGGAAGTTCTTGGCCAGTAGGATCTGTCTTTAGGTAGGAGGATGTTCCCCATGAAGCTCTTTGCATCTCTGTGGTTGTCGTTCAGAAGTCTTGTTGGAGCAGTTACATGTACAGTGCTCTCCACATGCATCTGTGGGCCCTAGAGTTACCATTTTTCGGGCTCCTTTTTGCCTGTTCAGCACTCTCACTCTTCTTCCCTTCACCCTCCCCCAATTGCTCCAGTCTACAATGCTTCAATAGATTGGTTTGGTACAATCTATCAGTTTACACAGAGCTCCCAAAGGAAAAGATCTTAAACAAAACCAAATCCACAATGATGAAGGAAAGTTCTTTGTTGCTCTCCCCACTCCACAGACACCAAATAAATCCAGCTGGACCAGAGATGATTGCTTGAAGCTTGTAGGGAAGAGGACATGGGTCTTGGGTGGTTATTCCTCCTACAGGCCAACCTTACACCATTTTTCCAGAGTACTGGGATGACTGGTTAATTAGTAGGGGTATTCCCAGGCTGTTTCAAAGGGTCAGTTTAATGTTTGTGTTAGTGGGTGAGATGGGATCGTGGAGTATTCTAGGAGAGAAAGATTCCCTAGTAGACCTATATGGCTGCCCTTAACCCAAACTGAACAAATTCTGTTTCTCCTCCTTAACCAGCCTGCATGTGTTGGTCTTAGAGACCTAATGGAATAATTTTAAGAAATGTATTAGGGTAGGGCCCTGTATTCACTTCCCATTGCTGCTGTAACAAATGATCATAGATGTAATGGTGTAAACCAACAGAAATGTATTATTTTACATCCAAAATGAATCTTGTAGGACTAAAACCAAGGTCTTGTTGTTGTTGTTGTTGTTGTTAAGTGCTTTCATGTCAGTTCCAACTGATAGCCACCCAGTATAGGGTTTCTGAGGAGCAGCTGGTGGGTTTGAACTGCCGACCTTGTGGTTCAGTGTCCAGTGCTGATCCTACAGTGCCACATCCGGAGTTCAAAACCAAGGTGTACTCATGGCTGATTTCATCTGGAGGCTCCATGCCTCTTCAGCACCACTTCAGTCCTGGCTTCCATCGTCACATTGCCCTCTCTTCCTCTTAAAATCTCCCTTTGCCTCCCTCGTATGAGGGCATTTGAAATTAATTTAGGGCCCACCTGGATAATACAGAATCAATTCCTCTCCATATCAAGATCCTTAGCTTAATCACTCCAGCAAATACTCTTTTGCCATATAGGGGAACATAATCATAGGTTCCTGGTGTGGTGCTGCACAATAATGCACTGGGCCACGAGGTCAGTTTCAACCACAAGGTCAGCAGTTCAAAACCACTAGCTGCTCCTCAGAAGCCCTATACAGGGCTTCTGTGAGTCGGAACTGACTCAGTGACACTTAACAACAACAACAATCATAGGTTCCAAGTATTAGGACATATTTGGGGGTCATAAGCACTTGGTTACCAAATGGTTGGCAGTTTGAATCTACCCAAAGTTACCTCAAAAGATCTACTTCTGAAGGCTCAGAGCCTTTGAAAACTCTGTGGCGCACACATGTGGTCATCATGAATCAGAAGTGACTAGATGGTGACAGGTCTGTTTGCTTTTCTGGTATGCAGCCATGAGGAAGCAAGCACACGTAACGCTTCCTTATGAATGGAAACGGGGAAGAACCAACTCTGACTAATGCTTCTTCGTTTGTTTTCCTTGGGGTTTCTTAGGCATCAGTGTAGAGAGGTCATCAGTCCATGTAAGACCGATGGTCTACTATATCTAGTTTGCTTGGCCTTCATCACCGATCTTCATTCTTACTCCCGCACCCTCACTGCCTGACGTCATGTTGTTGTTGTTGTTGTTGTTAAGTGCCATCAAGTTGGTTCCGGCTTGTAGGATTTCCGAGGAGTAGCTGTTGGGTTTTTTAAAAACTGACCTTGTGTTTAGCAGTTCAGTTCTTATCCTACAGTGCCATACCAGGTCTCCAAGACATCATAGATATCTGTTTTAATGAGTTTGGTTTATGTCTTTGAATAGCAAATAATATTGCTTTATATATTTATGTTTTATGAATTTGTATACATTTGTTTCATTCTGTTTCCCCTATGGCCCTACTCCGCACTATATTAATTGTGATGTGTACCCCTCATTCCTGGCTGCTGGCTGCTGTCTCCATAGAGCTTCTTCTTTCTTCCAGCAGTGAACATTCAGATTGCCCCGACTCTTGTCACAGGAACACTGCCATAAAACATCCTTGTGTAGGTTCACTTACGTAGCTGGGTGAGATTTTTTTCATAAAACTATATCCAAAGAGTGGGGTTCTGTGGTCATGGGATGTGTGTGTATTGGAGGGTCACTAAGCATTGGCAGATTGCTACACTAGTCTAGTCTGCACTTCCACGGGGCAATTGCTTTCTATTTTCTCACGTCCTCAGCAAGATTTGGCATTGTCAATCTTTCTCATCCTTGCCAACCATTCAGGTTTAATGTGCTTTGTCTATAAGTGGTTGCTGTTGTATAGCTGCCAGCCAGTCAATACTGACTTATAACAGCCTTATGTACAACAGAATAAAGGCTGTCCGATTCTGTGCCATCTTCACTGTCCCTGGTGGTTTCAAGTCCATTGTCTGCCTGCATGCCAGTCTACCGTCCCAAGGGACTCCCTCATCCTGCTGAAACTGGTCCACCTTCGGTGGTCCTGATGGTGTTTGAAATGCTGATAGTAGAGTTTCCAGCATCACAACAACATGCAAACCACCGCAGTACAACAAACTGGCAGACAGGTGATAGACTGTGCTAATTGTTGTTATTTATTGTGGTGAAAATGTGGTTGTTGTTGTTGAGTGAGTTCCGACTCATAGAGACACTGTATGGGGCTTCCAAGGAATGGCTGGTGGGTTTGAACCGCCGATCTTGTGGTTCAAACTGACCTTGCAGTCCAGTGCTTATCCTACAGTGTCATACCAGCTAAGAAAGAATAGACACAACTAAATAGAGCAATTCAACAATTTATACATACAATTCAGTGACACTGATTATATTCTTCAAGTTGTGTAGCCCTTCTCACTATCTAATTGTTTTTAAATCTTAGCTTACATTTTCCTTATTAGTGAGTATGAGTTCCTTTCATATACTTCTCAGCCCTGTCTCTGAACGTCTTGTTTGTATTCTTTCTCATTTTTCTTTTAGGGCTCCCTGAACTTTCCTCATTAACAATCCAGATGTTCATATATTTCGAGTATTAATGATATTGCAAATGCTTTCATACATCTACTACCCAGTTATTATTCTATGATGTTCTTCAGGGCATAGAAATTCTTACTGTTTTTAGAGTTAGATTCATTAATTTTCACTTCATGCTTTTTGGATTTTATCTAGAAAGTCTTTCACACTTTGATGTCTCAAAGATATCCTCCAACAATCCCTTCTAAGTCCTGCTTTAACTGTTGTTGTTAGCCATCAAGTCATTTCCAATTAATAGCAACCCTATGTTTTTGTTTTTAGGTGTCGGCAAGTCAGTTTCATTTCATAGTGACGTTGTGTACACAAAATGCAACACTGCAGTCTTAAGGCATTCTAACAATTGTTATGTTTGAGCCCATTGTTGCACTGCTGTGTCAGCCCTCGTATTCAGGGACTACTCTCTCCTGACAACATGTCCAAAGTATGAGAGACAAAGTCTCGCCATCCTCACTTGTAAGGAGCGTTCTGGCTGCACTTCTCCTAACACAGATTTGTTTGTTCTTCTGGCAGTCTATGATATGTATGTTCAATGTTCGTCAGCAACACCCTAATTCAAAGGGATCTATTTTTCTTCAGTCTTCCTTACTCATTGTCCAACTTTCACATACGTATGAGGCAATTAAAAATACCGTGACTTGGACCAGGTGTATCATAGTCCTCAAAGCAACATCTTTGCTTTTTAACACTTTAAAGAAGTCTTTTGCAGCAGATTTGCCCAATAAAATTCATCATCTGACTTATTGACTATGGGCATTTATTTGATAGACTCCCCCCAATAGAGGTTGCTGGGCTGCAATCCTTATGGGAGCAGATCTCCAGTGTTTTCTCCCATAGACTCTCTGGGTGGGTTTGAACCACTGACCTTTCAGTTTGCAGCTGAGCGCTTAACCTCTGTTCCACAGGGCTCCTTGCTTTAATTGTTTACTACGTGTTTTAGCATGCAGCCTTGTCACTGTCATTGAGTTCTTAGTGGTCCCTAATTAACAAATTGCTCTTTAGTCCAAAGATTATTCAGAGATAGGATTTTTAATTTCCAGATATGTAGGATTTTTTAAAGGTATTTTGTTTTCATTGATTGCTAATTTTATTGCCCTATGAACAGAAACTATTTGTATAGTACAATTTTTTTGTGGATGTTGTTTTGTGCATGTTCTAATAGACCCATATTAAGCTGAACTTATTAATTCTGTATTCAAATTCACACTTTTATATTTGTGCTTACTTTTTTCCAATTTAATATATTAGTTTTTAAGATGAATGTGTTTAATCTCCAACCACAATTGTATCTATGTCTCCCCAAAGTTATGTCGGTCATTGCTTAATATATTCTGAGGCTATTTTGTTGGGGGAAGGGGAATTCCATAGCAGTATATCTTCTTGGTATGGTGCTGTGGGTTAATACGCCAGACTGCAAAGCCATTTGAACTGTAAGTTTCATTCAGAA